CATATACATTTCATTACAGAGTTCCTCTGTGTTTGACTAATCTAAAATCTGCAGTCCAGCAGAAAGTGGTTGCTACATCTTTATTATTGGCATTGTTTATTTATTTATTATCTGTCACAGTAATCTAAGTCCCTGCCAAGAATCAGTGTATACTGACTATAGACAATATTGACAACATATAATCTATAAAATTAGAAATAAGTTGCCAAAATTTTTAAAAAGAGCGTTTTTAAAAACGTAAGGTTCCTATCTGGTTTCTAATTTCTGGGTCTTTCAAGATTTACATTCTTTTCTTGCACAAATATGAGCACTGGAAGCTTCCTTGATTTTTAAGAGAAGCTGGAATTCCCTAGTTACCATTTGATTCCACGAGCCAGTAAGTTAAGAAAACATCAAGCACTGTGACAGTTATAACAGTACTTTTAAATACGATGACCTTTTGAAAAGTGATTTATTTACTATCTATGCTTCAGAAATCTATCCGTGAGCATGCAGCGCCTCCAGGCACTCAGTAACCTGCCACTTCAAGGATGCCTGGGAACTGAGGCACCATCTCAACAAAAACATCTGGATCCGGATGCAACTTTGCCAGTCAGGCATCCTGTCCGGCTTCCTAAAGGGCAGCTCCAGAGCACGTTTCTGGGGCTGCACTGACACGCACACATGCTGGGGTTGTCTTCAAGCAACCTCAAGCAGGGAGAACAGAAGAAGGATCTTTTCCCATATCTGTATCATCCTACTTTCAGTCATTCGGGCATGTGATGTGTGCACGTCACCAGCTACTGCTAATGGAGCACTGGGAGCAGGTTTAATAAAGAAATTTAGAAAGAGGGAAACAGGGAGAGAAACCATGCTACAAACTGAAAATGTTCCATTTCCCGATTTTCACATCCGATTTTGCAAGGCTTACTCTTGGGATAGAGAACTGTGTACTAATCCCTGCTGCACCGAAGTCTATTTTCTTAGCTTTTAGCAAAGTTTATCCGCTGCAGTTTCTCTATAACCCCAAATAACATCACTTATCTACATACCTTACAGAGCTTGCAGCTATGGTAAATAGACAGATGCCAGATATGTTTTAATAATCTGGAATAAAACCATTGCTTAGAGCAACTTGTTACACACCTAAAAGTAAAATCTTTCTGCATTCTAGGCTCACTGATTTATTTTTTATTCATTTACTTTCAGGACAGTTAATATAAACTGATTTACTTTTTACTTCTATTAAAAACAAAAACCAGCACTGAAAGCTGTCACAGAGGTTCCTATACAAACAAGGAGGGAAAAAAAAAAAAAGCTTACCTTCAAAACTGAGTATAACCTGCAAAACTGAACAGTGCCTATTCCTTCCCAAGCCAGTAATACTAACAGTGTTCCTGAATACTGCAGTAGAAATACTCAAGTAGATACATTCATACTTGATAGATCAAGCAGATTGAGGCGATACATTACTGCAATATAAAATTCCTTCACATTAACTATGACAACTACTCCTACCATATAACCAACATGTATTCCTTTTCTTCATGATCTTCATGATCTTATTTTTGATGCAAGAAAACCCTCCGTGATTCCTTCTGAATCACATTTTCCTTTCAATTTCAATAAACAGGTTAAGAATGCTTACCCAGTAATCTATTGGTTTAACGGGTATGGTGTTGACAGGCTTACAGTTGGACTTGATGATCTCAAAGTTCTTTTCCAACTGTAATGATTCTATTATTCTATAGCAAACTATCCTTTACCTACCTCAAACAAATGGACATGTAACAGTATAGGATGCAGTACCTTGGTATTTATTCCTAGAGGCAAAGCAGTTGTCATGTTTTATAAAAAAAAAAGGTCTTCTTTTAATAAAAAGCTGAAGTTAACAAAGTAAAAACATTGATTTGTAATTAATTATACCTTACTCTAGAATATCTTGCCTTCATTGTTCACAAAATATACCACATTCTATACCACATAATAAATAAATACTTGAAGAATGTCCAGCTTCTTGTGAAATAATGGCTATGCACTATATGAGGAAACTGATAGATGTTCAAATGTGTTTGCAGGAAAAGATCAGGCCATAAGTGTTTGCCTGATCTTATTCTCTTTGAAAACAAGAGAAGTTTTATTACTGGATTCAGAAAGAGCTGAAACTGACTTCCAAGCTCTTGACAACGCATATAGCACATATACACACACATATGTCATAGCACATATATATGATATGTCATGTATGTATATATGTCATATGTCATATATATACACACAATATGTTCTGAGCAATTACATCTTCTAATTAGTGATAAAAACCAAAAACATAGTTTTGTGACTTGGGCAACTCCAAGTAAATAACTCTTAGAATGGAGATTTAATTGCTGCTAAGTCTCTAATGATATGAGATGCACAAGGCATGGCAAAGAAAAAAAGTTCCTTATATTACGAGACCAAACTGTTCAAGAGTTCAAGCTCTCAAACCAGTATCTTACATGCAGGCGGAGCTGAACATAGGCTTAAGTATCAATGAGGAAACTGCAGATATTTGGTAGTGGTGGTCAAATCATGAAAGAAAAAAAAAAGTGGCATAAACTGAGTCAAACCCCACAATTTTTGCCTTAAAAAAATCCTAGTTACAACTAAAGTGGTAAAAAGGCGCTGAAACACTTAACATCAGCTTTCCTAGGTACAAGTAAAGAAAGAAAGAAACCCCCCCCTCCGAAAAAAGGAAGAGAAAGTCGCTTTATTCGCTCTAATTAAAATTTCCCTCTTCTCTCCCTCTTGGCACGCAGCTCCCCAGAGGCCGGGGTACCTGTTCTCGGCACCAGCAGAAGCGCCACCGGGCCGAGGTCCCCGCGGGCGGTGCGGGCACCGCCGCAAGGCAGGGAGCGCG